AACTTATTTAAATCTCAGTCAACATCACATGTCTCTAAAGGCAATTGAAATTGGGGCATAAAATACAAAGTTGTAATTTTAAGATTAAGGGCAACATCACTTGCATGAGTCATCTTAATTGGATTTAGACTACAGTAATAGCGAAACAATTATATTTTGTTTTGTTTTTTGAGACTAGGTCTCTGTGTAACCCAGGCAGGTCTTGATCTTGAGATACTTCTGCCTATGCCTCTTGAATGCTGGGATTACAAATGTGTGCTACTTCTTTTAGCTCTTCAAGAATTCTTATATATAAGCTGTAAAGTAAATGGAAATAGAATAAATTATTGCTTTAGATCATCAATCACCAGAATATAGCAATAATTTGAGAAAGATGAAGTCTTGAAGTCTTACTAATTCATTTATTTTTATGTAAGAAATGCAGTTGTAGATATTAGTGGAAAAAAATCCTGTCTAAATTACATGATGAGTACAGATTATTGGAGATACTTTTCTTGATCATCTCTTCCACTCAAAGTATATGACCATTCCAAAGATCTTTGCAGTTGCCTCTTGTGGAATTTGCTAGTCAGGAAATCTAAATATGTCTTCCTTAAGCATCTCTTTGGTCTCAAAAAGTTTTAGGTATGATAGAAAAGGTCCATAAATGGATACATTCTACACACACACACACACACACACACACACACACACACACCCCCCAGACAGTATAATGAACAGAATTGTTAATTTTGTTTTGGTGCTGCCAAATTAGGAATGAGTGAGAGTTGTAGAACTGTCCAGGCAGTACTTTCCCTTTACTCTAGTATTCTTCCTGAGCTTGTTTCTGTTTTAAAGCGTATTTCTTTTATGGAGTAAAATAATTATTACTAATAATTTAATAGGGTTAATAATCCTTATATTAATAAAAAAGAATCATAAAACTAGATTTTGATGTTGCCAATTTTGATAGAAACTTCTTCATTGGCTTTATGTAAATCATAGATTTTCCTGGAAGAACTTTTGATTTTGTAGAATGATAGTTTTTTTCTTTTAGTATTTGACTTGTCTCTACTCATTTGTGACTAATATAGACTCTTTGAGAGGCTGTGAGGGAAAAAAAGAGTGAATTTACTTCAAAATTACCATTTTAAGTTTTATAGATTACTTATTTAGAGAGCTAAATTGGATTTTGACATTATTGGGATTGTGTTCAAGATGGACTCAGAGAAAATTAGATGCCATCTGTTTCAGATTCCTTCTTTCCCCACCCCTTCCATGTTTTGTGCTTTGAATTCATCAGATTATTTTTCAAAATACAAACCCTTAGTAGATTTAGATTATATAATATCAGTTCTGTCAGTGAATGTATAATTGCAAGAACTTTAATTAAAAAAAATTTTTTTAACTTAAAAAAAACTTTATTGAGAATTTCATACATGCATATAAGGTGTTTGGATCAAATCCATGCCCACTCTCTCCCCTTCAACATCTCCCATTATTTTCCCATCACTTTTTTCTGGCAACTTCCTGTGCTCTCTTGTTTTTTAAAAAATGGGGCTTTTTGCTGTTCTAACATTACCCCTCTGAAGAGGTAACCCTAAAATCTTTTAGGGATTAGCCGAGCGTGGTGGTGCATGCCTTTCGTCACAGCACTTGGGAGGCAGAGGCAGGCGGATCTCTGAGAGTTCAAGGCCAGCCTGGTCTACATAGTGAGTTCCAGGACA